GGGGCCCTCCCCTCCCCCCCCAATTCGGTGCAGGTGGCCTGTCCTGGGCACGGCGCGTCGGCGCCCGCTCGCTCGGTCAGCGCCCGCCAGACTAAAAATTACCCGGTGACGTACCCAACCCATTTGTATCAATGGAAACGAGGAGTTGGCCGAAACTTGCATGGACAACCAACTTGATGTTTAAGCTACTTGGGACACGCGCCTATGGCATGATGCGCAGGAGAACCATGCAAGAACGAGGGGCGACAGCTACAGGCTCGAAGAGGACATGGGGAGTCGGGAACGCAGAGCAGGAGAAAAACGTGCGGGAAGCCGAACCATCAGCACGGCAGCAGCAGAGGAAAGGTGACTGCAGGAGGAGAACAAGGACGAAAGCGGCGTCGAATTTGAGTCTGCGGTGGGTACCCACTGTGCTGGGCCCCCCAGCAGGCCTCGAAAGTGGCGACAGTTTCACAGATCGCAGCCCCCCAGGGATGGCGAGGTAAAATTCGAGTCTGCGGTGGGTACCCGCTGTGCTGGGCCCCCCAGCAGGCCTCGAAAGTGGCGACAGTTTCGCAGATCGCAGCCCCCCAGGGATGGCGAGGTCTAATTTGAGTCTGCGGTGGGTACCCGCTGTGCTGGGCCCGCCAGCAGGCCTCGAAAGTGGCGACAGTTTCACAGATCGCAGCCCCCCAGGGATGGCGAGGTCACATTTGAGTCCGCCGTGGGTACCCACTGTTCTGGGCCCGCAAGCAGGCCTCGAAAGTGGCGACAGTTTCACAGATCGCAGCCCCCCAGGGATGGCGAGGTCTAATTTGAATCTGCGGTGGGTACCCATTGTTCTGGGCCCGCAAGCAGGCCTCGAAAGTGGCGACAGTTTCACAGATCGCAGCCCCCCAGGGATGGCGAGGTCTAATTTGAATTTGCGTGTGGCGTCACTTTGCTGGGCCCCCCAGCAGGCCTCGAAAGTGGCGACAGTTTCACAGATCGCAGCCCCCCAGGGATGGCGAGGTCTAATTTGAATCCGCCGTGGGTCCCACTGTGCTGGGCCCCCCAGCAGGCCTCGAAAGTGGCGACAGTTTCACAGATCGCAGCCCCCCAGGGATGGCGAGGTCTAATTTGAATCCGCCGTGGGTGCCCACTGTGCTGGGCCCCCCAGCAGGCCTCGAAAGTGGCGACAGTTTCACAGATCGCAGCCCCCCAGGGATGGCGAGGTCCCATTTGAATCCGCCGTGGGTGCCCACTGTGCTGGGCCCCCCAGCAGGCCTCGAAAGTGGCGACAGTTTCACAGATCGCAGCCCCCCAGGGATGGCGAGGTCTAATTTGAATCCGCGTGGGTACCCACTGTGCTGGGCCCCCCAGCAGCCTTCGAAAGTGGCGACAGTTTCACAGATCGCAGCCCCCCAGGGATGGCGAGGTCCCATTTGAATCCGCCCTGGGTACCCACTGTGCCGGGCCCCCCAGCAGGTTTCGAAAGTGGCGACAGTAACACAGATCGCAGCCCCCCAGGGATGGCGAGGTCCCATTTGAATCCGCCGTGGGTACCCACTGTGCTGGGCCCCCCGGCAGCCCTCGAACGTGGCGACAGTTTCACAGATCGCAGCCCCCCCTCCCCCCCCAGGGATGGCGAGGTCCCATTTGAGTCCGCCGCGGGTACCCACTGTGCTGGGCCCCCCAGCAGGCCTCGAAAGTGGCGACAGTTTCACAGATCGCAGCCCCCCAGGGATGGCGAGGTCTAATTTGAATCCGCCGTGGGTGCCCACTGTGCTGGGCCCCCCAACAACCTTCGAAAGTGGCGACCGTTTCACAGATCGCAGCCCCCCAGGGATGGCGAGGTCACATTTGAGTCCGCCGCGGGTGCACACTGTGCTGGGCTCCTCAGCAGGCCTCGAAAGTGGCGACAGTTTCACAGATCGCAGCCCCCCCAGGGATGGCGAGGTCACATTTGAGTCCGCCGCGGGTGCACACTGTGCTGGGCACCCCAGCAGCCCTCGAAAGTGGCGGCAGTTTCACAGATCGCAGCCCCCCAGGGATGGCGAGGTCCCATTTGAGCCCGCCGCGGGTGCACACTGTGCTGGGTCCCCCAGCAGCCCTCGAAAGTGGCGGCAGTTTCACAGATCGCAGCCCCCCAGGGATGGCGAGGTCCCATTTGAATCCTCCGCGGGTGCACACTGTGCTGGGCGTCCCCAGCAGCCCTCGAACGTGGCGACAGTTTCACAGATCGCAGCCCCCCAGGGGTGGCGAGTTCCCATTTGAGCCCGCCGCGGGTGCACATTTTGCTGCCCCCCCCCCCCCAGCAGCCCTCGAAAGTGGCGACCGTTTCACAGATCGCAGCCCCCCAGCTGGCACGCAGCGACGAGCGAGGCGAAAGGCAAGGGGGAAGAGAGGGACGGGAGGGGGTGGGAAGGAGACGCGCGAGCAGTGCTCTATTCAAAACGAGAACCCAACGCAGGAGGGTTGGGAAACAATACTCGACGCGGGGCTCCCCATATGTGCATCTCATTCTCTTGGTACGTCTTTTCCTTGATATCTGTCAATGAGCGCCTGTGAGCGAGGGCGAGCCGCTCGCTCGAGACATTCCCACAGTCTGCAAGCATGAGTGCGACCAATAGCAAATCTGAGAGCGACTGATTCTGAGTGTGAGTTAACCTGGGTGCGATTGAGCCTGGGTTTGAGTGGGTATGCGTGTGAGTAAAAATGAGCGCGAGTGCGTCTGTGTGCGAGTGGGTCTGAATATGGACGAATTTGAGTGCGAGCCAGTCTGTGATTGAGCGGATTGTGGCATGATGGGTCTGAGCATGGGTGAGTCTGGGCTTCAGTGGGTCTGAGTGTGAGAAAAAGTGTGTGGTAATGAATCTGAGTGCGAGTGAGCCGAGTGTGATTGGGTATGGATGTGAGGCAGTCTGAGTGTGATTCGGTCTGCGTTTGAGCTGGCCGAAGGATGATGAGTCTGAGCAGGAGCGAGTTTGAGTATGAGTGGTTCTGAGCGTGAGTCTGAGTGTGAGTAAGTTTAAGTATGGATATGAGCGAGTCTAAGTGCGAGTGAGGCTGCGTGTGACTGAGTCTGAGTATGAGTGAGTATGAATGCAGAAGGCTGAAGGAGAGCGGAGAGCGAATCAGAGTGAGGCGGAAGCGTTTGAGTAAAACCTAAAGCTTTGGAACATCGAACCTCGATCGTCTGGCCCTGGCTACTCGAGTTGCCCACGTTCTCCTCCTCCTCCTCCTCTTCCTCCTCCTCCTCCTCCTCCTCCTCCTCATCATCATCATCCTCCCCTTCCTGCTTCTGCTCCTACCGTGTTCATGCTGTCCTCCTCCTCCTCCTCCTCCTCCTCCTCGTCCTCTTCCTCCTCCTCCTCGCTTCCTCCTTCTCTTCCTCCTCCTCCTCCTCCTCCTCCTCTTCGTCCTCCTCCTCCTCCTCCTCCTCTTTGGGAGTGCTGAAACCAGCACATCGCTTGAGACATCCTCCCAAAACTGCTCCGAAAACGACATATGCCCAGCAGCATAACGGCCCAACCGCCTGAGACATCCCCGCAAACTGGGCGCGAACGTCCTCCAAATCTGCTCCGAAAGCGAAACATGTTGGAAGAGAAAAATGACCAAACCGCCGGAGACATCCCCACAACATCCCGCGAAAGGGGCCGAGTGAAATACCTCCTCCGCCGCTCCCCTTAGAGTGCCGAAGCCAGCGAATCACCTGAGACATCCTCCAAAGCTGCTCCGAAAGCGAAACATGTTGGAAGAGAAAATGGCCAAACCGCCTGAGACATCCCCACAAAATCCCGCGAAAGGGGCCGAGGGAAATACCCCCCCGCCGCTCCCCTTAGAGTGCTGAAGCCAGCGAATCGCCTGAGGCATCCTCCAAATCTGCTCCGAAAGCGAAACATGTTGGAGGAGAAAAAGCAAAACCGCCTGAGACATTCCCACACCAATCCGCGAAAGGGGCCGAGGGAAATACCCCCCCGCCGCCCTCCTTAAGTGCTGAAACCAGCGAATCGCCTGAGACAGCCTCGCTAACTGCTCCGAAAGCGAAACATGTTGGAAGAGAAAATGGCCAAACCACCTGAGACATCCCCACAAAAATCCGCGAAAGGGGCCGAGGGAAATACCCCCCCGCCGCTCCCCTTAGGAGTGCTGAAGCCACAGAACCGCCTGACACATCCTCAACATCAGTGTGCGTGAGTCATCCGATGAGTGGACCTGAGTGAGTGTAGTGAATGTATGAGTACAAGTACGAGTGAGTCTGAGTGATGAGTGAGTCTGAGTGATGAGTGGGTCTGAGTGATGAGTGAGTCTGAGTGGTGAGTGATGAGTCTGGGTCATGACTGAGTCCGAGTGATGAGTGGGTCTGGGTGATGAGTGAGTCTGTGAGTCTGAGTGACTGACTGAATCTGAGTGATGAGGGAGTCTGAGTGATGACTGAGTCTGAGTGGGTCTGAGTGAGAGGAGGTGAGGTGGTGTTCTGTTCTCTCTCTGTTCCTCCGGCGCGGTCCGCCAATAACAAGAACCCCATCTCCTTGGATATGGGGAAAAAACATCCCTGGGGGGGACTGCGAAGTGTGAAACTGTCCCGTCCCACTTTCCAGGGCTGCTGGGGGCCAGCGCAGTGGGGCCCCACGCAGATTCCAAACAAACCTCGCCATTATTTCGCTGCTTCTGCGGAGGTGAGTGTTCTTCCGCCCCGATGTCTTCCTGTTGCTTATCCATCCCAGTACAATGCCTCCTGGCCTTTTGTATCTCTATTCTGCGAGTCGGCCACGCACGCTGCACACGACATCGATATCCGCCATGCGTCATCTCTTGCAGTCTTGTTGTCGCGCCAGTGTCGGCACACCTTATATCATCCTTTGGTGGCGATGGGTTCGGTACGTCGCAGGGTAATTATCCATCGCGATAACGCTCCATGCTGTTGCAAGAAGTCCGCGCAGCGTCAAACAACGACGCATTTGAGAAAGATGGAGGGGACACACCATGAGGACGTACGGACCGCCCTCCCCTCCCCTCCCCCGAACTGGTCACTCGAGGCGCCTGGCTGCCAACGCGCCTCTGGCCCTTGACCAGATGAGCATCTACGCGAAGGATCGGTGGGGTACCTCCTTCCCACGGTCAATACACACCGATCGTTGACAGTTAGTATTTGTGGATTCCCGGATCCCGATCTACTTTTGGGCGACTGACTACTTCGAGAGTCGAGCGGTTTCTCCTCCTCCCTCCTCTTCAGGGGGCGGGCGGAAACCCAACATTTCGGATGCAAGTCCTGGGAGGTCAAATTCTGATTTTGACCTGGTCCAATCCGGCTTAATCCGGCGTGATCCCGCTTAATCTTGCCTAGCCCCGCTTAATCCGGTTTTATCCCGCTTAATCCGAGGCCCACTCCGGCGTAACAGCTACCAAATGGGGCTTCATCCTCCTTAATTTTTCCGACGAAAACCTCCCAGTAGTAGCCTCCCAACAACATGGGAGGGCCCCGCTCCAGGAGAGGCATGCCGAGGTGAGCCTCACCCCCCCCCGTGAGGGGCTGGTGCTCACACGCGGCCCCCATCCGCACGTGTACGCCGCCGCCAGAGACAGCCTCCGATCCCCTTCCTCCCAGGCCTCCAGGTGCGTGTGCGGTGTCCTCCGTCGTCCTCGCCGCTCCGTCGTTCCTTCTTCTTCTCCTTCTCCTTCTTTTTCTTTTTCTTTTTTATTCATCTGTCTTCTTCTCCTTTCTTCTTCTTCTTATTATTATTCTTTCTTCTTCTTCATTCTTATTCTTCTTATTGTGTCTTTTTTCTGTCTTCTTGTTCTTATTATTCTTTATTATTTCTTTTTCTTCTTATTATTAGTTATTATATGTCTTATGCTTCTTATTATTCTTCTTCTCTCTATTTACCTCTTGGTTTTTGTTGCCCCCCTCCGGCGCTCCACTGGGGAGGGGTCGATGGCCGCAGTCTCCGGGCGACAAGGGGGCCCGCAGCTCGAAGGCCTGGAGCAGGGGGGGGACCTCACATCCAATATGCTGCAAAATGGACCGCCTTGGGCCCAGGAGGGGCCCCTGGTCTTCTCAGGGGAACAAAAAGTGGCATAAACATAAAAACTCGGAGGTCCGCGCGGATTTCTCGGATCGGCGCTGGACCCCCGTCCCTGGCGCGCGGAGCGCGCCAGGGGCGGCGCTGGAGGCGCCGCCGGAGGGCCCCAGCGCCGATCCGAGAAATCCGCGAGGACCTCCGAGTTTTTATGTTTATGTCACTTTTTGTTCCCCTACTTCTGTCGGGCCGGGCGAAAGGGGGGGATTGGGAAAGGGGGGGTTCCGAAATCTGCTGCATGCAGCTGGTTTTGGCCTCACGGAGGGGCCCATTCCTCGATACATGGCCGCCTCCCGGCGCCGGGAGGCGCCGGGAAAATCAGCTACGTGAGCTGATTCTCAACCCCCCCCTTTGCTATCCCCCCCTTTGCCCTACTTCTGGCTGCTCCCCGGGTGTCGGCCCGGGAGCCTGCCCCCGTGGCCGAGGCGCGCCGCGGCCAGGAGGAGAGGCCCTTCCGTT